CGATTTTCATCCGTCCTCATCTGGTGAGAACGACAAACGAATCTCTTCATCATGTACTTTTATTCGGAATTAAGATCCCCCTAACAATATCCTGTGACACATTGACACTCGTGGCAGTGTGGTGCAGTGCTAACATTTAGAATAAAGCACAATGCTCACATTCAACTAACATCCTTCATCACCTACCATCTACGCTTAAAATATGAAGGAACGACTAATAAATACATATTTTTGTGTATTTAAGCTCAATTGCAGCGGCGACTGGAGGTGATTCGTTAACTTGGAGGTGTGAATGATGCCTTGTGTGGATAAGTGCAAATAGCACCGTCCTCCAACTTGATGCATCCGTGTTGAACTCTCGTCCATGGGGTAGCAGAGAATATGGTCACAGCGAAAACACATCGCTTATGAACTTTTTTTAAAATCCCTAAAACAGAGAAATATAAACCAAGCAAATGTTAAGTTCATGGTAGACGATGACATCTGCCTCAGACGTGCCTAGCACATATTCATGAGGTAAAATTCCACCGTAAATAGAAGTTATCACAAAAATGTAATGGCAGAAGAGTCATAGAAACCCAGTAAGAGACTTATCACTGAACCTCATCATACGGTGGAATTTCACACAAATTAAAAGCCGCAAAACCACCCCCTCTCAAGCTTCACAAAAGCAACTGGTTGTCAAGAGACCGAAATTACATCCGCCACACGAGACGCATGGGAAGACAATTATTGTTGGCATGATCTACGGGAACCTTGTGAAATTATGTGGTACGGGCGCCCTATAAATATCTGCTTTTCTTCCAGTTAATAAACACTACATCACATTCACCCGTTCGCATGTAACTTGATAACATAGCATTTCACTGTTGCTGCTCTTAGCACAGACAAGATGTCTGGCTCTAACTTTGCATAAGGCAAGTTTTCACACAAAATAGGAGAAACCACAAATCTATCCCATTTTGAGATTCATAGAGACTGTGTCAAGCCTCATGGGATTAATTGGACTTTTGCTGTCGACTTCGGAAAAGACTAATCTGCGAAGCTCATCTTAAAGCAGACCTACACACGAAGTGAAAGTCTCTTCTCAGGAGATTCATACAAGTCATGACCAGCTTCGTATGATAAATGGGGTCTATTGACCTACCAATTTCACCACTTGGGCAGACTTTCCTTCGCGATGTCAATCAGCACATCTTGACTCTCACTCACTGACTCGTCTCTCGTTGGCATCAATGCCCAACTTGCAAGTTGACATAAGTTGACATTTCAATTTTCCCGCTTTTATTACGGCAAAAGTATACAATATTAATTAATATTATTATAAACTGCACATAGCCCCGATTTTCAGCCTGCGCTCGGTTCTGCGTTTCTGCTCAATTGGTTCGCCTCTCCAACACACTCACAGACGACCGGAGGCCTGGACTGCCCGAACGTGTAGAGGGATAACGAGGAGTATGAACAGAAGCCGGTCAACTGTCGTCACCTTGGCAACCGGCTGAATTGAGAAAAAGGGTTGGTACGCTCCGCAGACGCTTACGCCACTCTCGATCCGCCACAGCCTCGAACATTTCTGACGTCTCGGACGCCTCAGACGCCTCGGACGCCTCGTCAGCCAATCGGATCCTGTCGTTCAGGCTCAACTGGTACAGATCTCGTTGCCAACGCCAGTAGACAAGAGAGGTTGCGCTGCCCGGCTGGCCCGTCCAGGCCGGGCAGTCGTGAGACAGCAAACCGGTGGCTCTTCGGCCCAACTGCCAACTCCACGTCGGCAAACTCGAGTCGTCCGACATTTCGGCCATCCGCCAACGCATCAGACGTCCATTCTGCCACGAGGCGCGACGTTGCAACGACGCAACTCGAGCCTCGGGCGCAAGAACAGCGCTCAGGTTTGGCGTCACACTCGTCAGACTGATCGGTGTAGCGCAGGCGAGAGGTCCGCTTTTCTGCCTCCGGTCAGTCAACTCGAGACAGACGCCAACGTCGACGTCCAGAAGGCGGCTGAGGGAGACGACGTTGGCGGCGGCCGGTGACGACGTGTCGTCTTCGTTCGTCTGCACGAGGATGGCCACGTTGTTGGGCCGAATGGTACCGGAGAGGGCGGCTAGAGACGATAGTTCGGCGGATGTGTCTGCCTCCAGAAGGGACCAGCGCTCCGAGGCAGTCGATGTGGACAGCATGGCTTGTGACGGCGCGAAAAAGTGTCGTCACAACCGACAGATGACGGCCAACTCATGTCGTCTGAACGGCACTCCGACAGCGGATCCGACCAATCAGACACGCCCACGTTTGGCCAGATCATGTGGACTGGGCTACACCGAGACGCCGATAAAGCGTGAGCTGAGCAAGCCGGTGGCCAGAGTTAGTGATGCTCATCGGGGCTCACATCATCGGCCTATTTATTCATTTGTGGTTTACACTTGTTGTTGGCCCGATGACAAGCGCCACAGTCACTGTAACACAATTTAGTTTGCTTTTGCAGCAACATTTTTGGGCATTTTCGGCTGTAGCATTTATTGCTCATTTTTTCGATGGCAATAATTACTCGAAAATGGGGTGGAAATAGACAAATTATCAACAAATAATGATAATAGGGAGAGAAGAAAAGAGGGGCATTATTGAAAGACTTATTCATAAAATTGCAGGCAGATCGTGATTAATACGAGCTCGAGATTTACCTTGACAACAGCCAAAATACAACGAAGCAGATGTATCAGTTGTCGTTAAGCTGTTGCCCTCTATGCACTTCCCATTTGTAAATATGAACAATGGGAAGAATGGAAAAGTGTCAATTTGGAGGTGAATATAACGAGCGATTGGGGAGCAATTCATAGCAAAAATGTGATGAAATGAAAAAACACAAACAGGGTGATACAAATTCTAAAGTTGGCAGGGATGGGACAAAGTTAAAGGAGAAAGCGGCACCAACTTGAGGACGTTGAAAAGCCACCTCTTGGGAAAAAGTATTACAATGCTAGATCTATGCGAGAATGTAACTGCGATATTTTTTGTTTGTTCGAGTCCCGCTGGGGTTGTTGCTAAGGCCTAGACGAAGTCGCAACTGCAGACTGAATGAGAATAACTTTTGGGGAGGCAAGACTATGTACAATTCAGCGGAAATGTCATGTCTACTGATGTCCCTGTGGAAAGGTTCAACTACCAATCCTTCATCACTTTAAACGAAATAGTAAGAATACAGCTCATATATCTGATTTAATGATAGTCTCGAAAACCTACTCAAAAGGAAACATAAGTAATGTCTTCGAGTGCTATAGCAAATATATAGTTGCTTCCTCGACAATGCCAACACAGAAAGTGTTTTGGGAAAATGGCAGGCCTTCCTTGAACTTCACACCTGCCTTGTGACCCAAAAGCACTCGTGGCAAAATGGCGAAATGGTTAACGTGTCGAGATCATATACTGCAGTTTCATGGTTCGAGTCCCGATGAGGGTGTTGATAAGACCTCTTCAGTCTGGATGAGATTACCTTGTGCGAAATTCCATGGAAACGTCATGTCTCGTCATATCATTACGGGGCAATTTAATTGTTAGTCCTCTCCCTTATTGTCGTAAACTAAGTAGAAAACTCATCTTTATTGCAGTCCATGAAGCAAGGGAAATTCGCAATATTGAAAGCAAACTATTTGGTAAGAACTTTGGTACATGTGATTGCTCAAACAACTGTTCGTAATGCTCTTTCTCTACTTTATTGCTTTGTATATAATAAAACTTTGCTTCTTAGCATATTCTATTATCTCTAGCTAGTATATGACATTAATAAACAGCAAAAAATGTACTACTTTTAATTTTTCAGTAGGCTTTTTCAATCAAATGAAAATAATTACAATATGCTAAATCTATATACATAGATTTTTTTCGTACTATTTAAAACAACATACAAGTAATATTATAAATATCTATCAATATATAATATTGCTTGCATGTACGCAATGCCCAGGAACAATTTTAACTGCAGTGATAGCGACTTGTCTGTACGCAAATGAAAGTTATAGTCAATTTGAGTCGTATGATATGATGAAAGATTGGTAGTCGAATTCTTCCTAAATCGCATGTATAAGCCTCACAGTTCCATTGAAGTTCACGTAACCTTATTTCCCAAATGGTATTTTCATTTAGTCTGGACTGCAGTGAAGTTGCTACCTCCGAATCTCATCACATTCAAAGCTGTCTCGTAGATATTGCCAAATAGTCTTTGCTGGGAAATTTCAACTAGAACTGCTATTCAAGAGTTACTGATTATCTTGGTGCAACATGACAAATTACTAATCTACTCAATTTATATCAATCTACATTATTTCAGTTCTTTCCTTGATTTCAGCTTGTAGGATAGAGCCAATTAGTCTTCTAGACAAAGAGGTCGCATGCAATTTTGCAAGCATGAAACCGTACTGTAAAGATGGCCTGTCAATTGGCAGGAAGGATGAGAGCCCAGTCCGTTTTCATTAGAACCGAAGATGAGCGTCTAGCCAACTGCGTATACCTGGTAAAATCAGACGACTGCATAATATGAGAAGCTACCATTGTCGGCAGATGATACCGACCTGCCAGTCTCTTCATCGCTTAAACGTTCATAAGAAATTAAATTCATACCAAAAAAAAATAAACAAGATCTGGATAAGTTCTTATGCAGGATTTGCATAAATCTGGAATTTATTATGACTAGTGAATGTAATCTTTTAACATTTAAATAAAGTCTAATATAAAGCAAATCATGATCGAAATCCATATACTATTTCTAAAATTTAAGTTGCCAATTTAGCCTGATAATAGGAAGCCAAGCGGAAATAATGTACCGGAAAATAATAACTGTAAAAATCGCATGTGCTTAACTTTCCTGGACCTCCTTTTCTCGGGCTTATTGTTAGTAAGAGTTTCATGAGGATTTTTAACTACACGTACACTGTTTATATGAAGATAGGTTGGGTTTTAAAGTACCTTTCATAATTTAAATTCGATAGTGTTTCCTGTTTAAAGAACCATTTCTTGAAAAGGTTTAATGAGTTTGCTTAACTCGAAACGGAATAATCTC